GACCGTTCAAGTGGTTGGGCGCCATTCCTTTCCTCCCGTCCCATCCCAAATCCTTATCCTGATCCCTTCCCAGTGCTATATAGTCGTAATGGTTTGGCGCTTTCTCTTGATAATTCTCTTCCCTTCTCCCTCTCCCCATCCTTCCCTCCCCGACTCCATCCCTCCCTTCCCCCCCCAACTCGCGTACGCACGCATCGTACGACATGTGACGTCACAGTTAGGCAGCCAATCAGGGACCCGAGTGTGTGTCCAAGAAGTCCTTTCTTTGCTCTTCTCAAGAGTGGAGCTATCGCAAGGCGTAATTTTTAGTACAAGATGTGGTATAATATTTTTGTCATAATATCGTTATAGCTGAAGATTTTATTTCAAACAATAACGTACATCAATACACTGATCTACACCTCGGACTATCGTAAAGACTATATACTCTTTCTCACTTTATCTACGATATCACTTCATAAACATACCATAAACACAAACATTCAGTCCAACTCTGTCCCTCCCATAAAAATAATTTCAGTGGTATACAAAAAAATCTTATCTTTCACTTTTTTTTAACTTTCAGTTGATAGCCTAAGGAGAAGACTGCGTTGGGATTCCTCACATCTTGCGAATGACAGGAAGGACGTTGCACCTGTGTTTAGTGTTACAAGGTTATCCACGATAACATTAACCTTCGGTAGGTTCAGTAGCAGCCTTGCATTTTGCAAGGCCGGTGTTCGATCCCCGATGGTCCTAATAGTTGGACACCCTTCCTTCACTCCGTCCGATTATCCTTATCCTCGTATCCCTTCCATGTGCTATATCCATACTGTCGTAATGCTTTCTTCCCCATAATTCAGGCGAAAATCTTACCATCTTATAACGTTTCCAAGCTCGTAAACTTGAATAAATACAGACAAAGCTGCCTGCGTGATCGAGGTAAGATGTACTGGTTTCGTAAATGGACACGTAAATATGCTTTGTGAATCCTAGCCTAGCCTTAGGTCTCTACGCGTGGGTTGTGATATAAACTTGTATTATTATACTCTTATTTTATTAACTCTTTATTATTTATTAGGGGCATCACCTCTATATATTATTTTATACTTCTAAAGACATTGTATTGAAGAATCCAAAGCATAATATTCCACTTGTCTTTACGATCGAATAATAATAATATTCATAATAATAATAATAATATTTTGTGTATTAAAAATACATAGGATCAAATTACAGTGATTATTTAGCAGATGCACTATTTGTAGTTTTAATCATTTTTCAGGTGAGATACTATCCTCAAAAGTTACAGTTCCGCTCCTGTGCCAGGTAAGTCCTCTACGGGCTCGCCATAGCCCGTGCTACTTGCCCCGCTCCTGTGCCAGGTAAGTCCACTACGGGCTCACCATAGCCCGTGCTACTTGCCCCGCTCCTGTGCCAGGTAAGTCCACTACGGGCTCACCATAGCCCGTGCTACTTGCCCCGCTCCTGTGCCAGATAAGTCCACTACGGGTTCACCATAGCCCGTGCTACTTGCCCCGCTCCTGTGCCAGGTAAGTCCACTACGGGCTCACCATAGCCCGTGCTACTTGCCCCGCTCCTGTGCCAGGTAAGTCCACTACGGGCTCACCATAGCCCGTGCTACTTGGAACCTATTGTTCCAAATAGCTGAATCTAAAACAACAACAACAGCTCCCCTCGAGGTGAATGATGTTTTCCTCCAAGCTTGTGTTGTCGCCATGGAACTGTGAGAAAGTGCAACAGACACACAGTTACTGTGAGCATCCACAACGATACAAGTGTCACGTGACCTAACATGTGAGAGCTTTGGTAATAATTTCTAGCTGTTGGGGGCCAGAAAAGTTGAGGGGGGGGGCCTCCACCCCCCCGAAGACCACAAATATTGTGGGTTATATCCTGGATAAAGACAGAACACTAGGATACAACCTACAATAGTTGTCCGATACTTGGGTGTACCTATTTACTAATAGGTGAATAGGTAAGGTGCCCAACTCGGGATCCTCGATTATGAGTCGAGAACGAAGCCAACTGTACTACGAGACGATATATATATATATATATATATATATATATATATATATATATATATATATATATATATATATATATATATATATATATATATATATATATATATATATATATATAATATAAAGACAAAGGCGTAACATGCTATTTAGAATAGGTGCTAACGCAATGAACATTTGTGTACGGACCAATGGGAGTAGAATGCTTACTGGGGGGGGGTGAGGGGGGGATGGGGGAGGGGTCAACACACCGATCACGTGACAAGGGACTGGTTCCGCCCCCCCCCCAGCATCAGTGGCGCCACTAAATGGGGGTTGAGACGCGACCCGCCCCCCCCCCTCCCGTCGCCAAAAGGAAAGCGGCCAGACAGGCCATCCAGCCATATATAGGTGACCTAGCACTTACATATAAGGGGTCTTGAAGCCTCCCGACATATTACAGCAGAGGTAAGGTATTAAGGCTCGACCTTTTCTCTCGGTGTGAGGCTTAGTGATCAAGTGTGGCTTGGGAACCCGACCGACCCTCCTGGCCTCCTGAGACGCTGGCTGTAATGATATGTGGATACTAGTCACTTCGTGCAGAAGAGGCGCCCCTCTTGAACTGGTATCTTCGTACAAAAGCGACCACTTGAACTGGTCGGTAGAGCGAATGCCTCGGTTTTTGCAGTTCGGCGTTCTATCCCCCGATGGTCCAAGTAGTTTTTTTTGTTTTATTGTTATTGTTTGATATTGCTTTTATCTTGATGAAGGCATAACAATAATAATAATGGAATATGACTACTCACTAAATATACTAAATTTCCTCATTAAATACTATACAGGTATAAAAAAATACAATTAAATCTTGAAACCACCAAATGAAAATAACATCAATGAGGAGCAAAGCTGTTGTTAATGTTACTAACGAATATTAGTGATAACTGATTGCATATTTTCTGGCCTATGTTCTCAAGGTAAATATGTACTAGGGGTCCCGTAGCTCAGTGGTCAGTGCTGTCACTTCTTATCCGAAAGGTCCCGAGTTCGATTCTCACGGTTGTTTGGGCACATTTCCTTTCATTCAATGCTTCTATTCACCTAGCAGTAAAATATGTACCTGGGAGATAATGGTTGTGTGTTGTATCTTGAGGAAGGTAAGTGGTAGATCATGGGTGAATCTTGATAAACCTAAGAGGCTTCATGTCCCCAACAATAAGAAACCACAAGCTTTAGATAGTTGCAGGTGCTCATATGTTCTCAGAACACAAGAGTTTTGAAATGCTTCAAGGTTTACTCTAGTCTCCGTCACAATCCCGCGTAAAAGTTCGCCCAGGGCTCCAGTGTCTTGTTATCGGTGTTGCCCGCCGGGTGGCGCCTCCATGTGATCCCGGGAAGCTTTACCTTTATACAACCTGGATTTACTCTCCTAAGCTACAAGAGGGAGGGGGAGGGGGAGGCAAGTGGGTGGAGGGTGTGAAAGATTTCACGCTCTCTCTCACCTCTCTGCCCGAGCCCTTCTTGGGCTTGCTCTTTCTCTCTCTCTCTCTCTCTCTCTCTCTCTCTCTCTCTCTCTCTCTCTCTCTCTCTCTCTCTCTCTCTCTCTCTCTCTCTCTCTCTCTCTCTCTCTCTCTCTCTCTCTCTATCTCTCTCTCTCTCTCTCATATAATCTGTTCCGGAGCATAATCCACGGTAATATTTAGACATAAACTCACAGAGACAGTTTCATAAGGATATATAATGGGCTCCATCGAATAAGAGATTGATTGCATTAACCAACTGACAGGTGTAAAGGCTAGGCTCAGGAGCTGAAGCACTACCTACATACTAATCTAGGTGAATACACACACAAATGTGTTTTCTGCCATCCATATATCTCGACACAATCCATACCATTAACTGTGTCGCCAACCCCACACTATTGTTCTTTCGTTCCTCCTTCTCTCCCTCGTTAGATGGACCACTGCTTCTTGTGCTAGAGATAAGATAACAAGATCACGACGTGACGATAAGCCTTGAGCACGACCTCCATTTGACCTAAGGGGGAGGAGGTTATGATATGGGATATGGGTTAGTTGTTGGGAAGGCGGTGCTGTGGTGGTGGTGCACAAAGACAGCAACATCGTGTTATTGTTGATTCTTTAGCTCCTATATGAGGCTGGTAGGCTATAGAGCCTAATACCAAACCAAAGTATAGCGTAAATGTTATTGCTAACGCTGGTGTTTACATTATTAATACTATCAGTCATAGTGATCTATTAAGGTAAATGTTCTGTTATTTGCAAAAACGAGAGTTAGAGTTTAAACAAAAGATGACTTGCCATAGTCAGAGTTTTATACGGGTCGCACTAACTCTGACCTTAGTAGCCTATTCTCAGGCTTTTATCATCATTACACATCATTACTGAGTAAGAAGAATTATTTCCTCGGCTTAATTTATCCTTAACATATATAAGGTGAAAAAACATTCAGCAGTTTACGAGCAAAAACTGATTTTGCACTAAACAGGAATATTAACACGTTTACCAATAGTAGTGTGATGACCGCTCTGGAAAAAAAGTATTTTTTTCGGGAACCTCTTTATTACATTCAGAAAAAAATGTATATAAAGTAATTTTAACAATTAAATATTTGTTAAATGCAGAATTATTTTACACTTACATTAATGACAAACGATATTGTATTTGTTAAAGGTTGGTATGCCTGTGCAACAGCTAAGGGTGAGATTGTCTCGAGTTTGTCATGAAGCTTTGTCTAATGAACTACCTACAACTAAATGACGAATAGTCTCGGTGCTTATATAACATCATACCACAATTCTGAATCGTCCTGTTACGTGACAACGATAGATCAAATCACTGCTGGAAAGATTAAAACTGATCGCGTCACTTGCTCGTTCAGTGATGGTTTGACTGCTTCGAAAACGGCGGCCGGATCCCACCTCGGTGAACTGGACCACTTGGCGAGGGGGCGGGCAGCAGCCCAGGCGGCCCTGGAGGGAAAATCCGGTGTAGCACTACGTGAACGGTGAACAACTATCGGTAACCCGTAACGGCATTAATCACGGGAATTCCACATTGATGCGTGACCAAATCTGAGGCCAAATAAATTCATTGTGTATTGTGGTATTTGTGTTGTATGGCCGGCGTTCTAGGACCATATTGCTCACCATAGTGCCGGGATCCCGAGAGCTATAGCACAGCCCTCCACCGCTTGTAAAGGCAAGCTGATACTATTATGTGCATCGAAGAGGTTAGTGTAGGCAACGGGAGGTAGATACGTGATTAACAAGCTTAGCTCATCCGGAGCCTAGTTAGTTGTTGGGAACTTTTAATTCAACATTGCATCAGGGGATGTGCCCCACTTTACTAATAAAAAGTTTCTGAGCCTAGCATGTAGAACATTGTGGTTCAGCTCCTAAACCCACTGGGACCTTACCTTGAGGTGCTTCCGGGGCTTAGTGTCCCCGCGGCCCGGTCGTCGACCAGGCCTCCTGGTTGCTGGACTGATCAACCAGGCTGTTAGACGCGGCTGCTCGCAGCCTGACGTATTAGTCACAGCCTGGTTGATCAGGTATCCATTGGAGGTACTTATCCAGTTCTCTCTTGAACACTGTGAGGGGTCGGCCAGTTATGCCCCTTATGTGTAGGTACGGGACTACCTTAATTCAGGCATTGTAGGAAATGTAAAATAGCCACGTTGAAAAGTAGAGATGTAATGCAAAGAGACAATTCTGTTATTAAAGACGGCCAAGATATGTCAAGTACTGGTGGCATAATGGCACTCTGTGGCTCGCCTGGGTTGCAGTCCTGGCTAGGGAGGGTTAACTGGGTGCCAGTACTCGCCATTATTCACCCTACCATAATTGGGGTCCTGGTTGTTAACAAATTGACGAGTTGTTCCAGCGAAAAAAAAGGCTGTGGTATGTAAAAAGTCAGTTGCGTACAAATGCAAGTGTTGTCTAGTCAAAGCGGACGAATTTGGCTAACTCCTCACGGCCGTTGTATAGGAATCGTCAATATTAAGCTTTATTTTAATATAGCATTTTCAACGGATTGATAGATAACGTTAAAATAAGACCTATTAGTTAAGCAGACGTTGAAACGATATAATGCTCAATGGAATCACCAGAATGTAATGAGAAAATATTGGTATATACGGCTTCAGTATTTTTCTCAGATCAATTGCATACCAGGAGGTGAGGAGGAAGCTGTGGACTGGGGAAAGGAAAGTGACTTGCCAGACATAATGGTTGACGTCCTTGATTCTCGGCCTCCTCGGTACCCCCCTACTCCCCCCCCCCCCACTACCCTCGAGCGACACCTGGCCTGGTCAAGAGCCACTATAAATAGTATCGGGACTTAATAGTGTTCAAAACAGTCTTTTGAAGTGATTGCGTCTGGAAGCAGATACGTCGGTGGAGGAGGCAACGTCACTCGTGGTTTTGAATGGATGTCATATCGTACACAAGACAGTTCGCAAATAATTTAAAATTCTACTAAATCTTACCCTACCCAGCCTAGTCCTTCCCAAACGAAACATGCCTAAGCTTGTGCTTGTAGCTTGTGCTTGCTAACCTAAGGCAACCCGTCCTCGACTCAAGTCCATTCCATCCAGCGGTCGACCCCACAGACGCATTCATAAATTTAAACATGCTGTTCATTCAAAACGGGAATTTTCTCAAGTATAAATTAATATTATAATAAGGTTAGGATAGGTTAGGTCAGGTGTTAAGGTTCTGTTGGCGATTATTTGTAGTACGTGGGTGAAGCATTTATAGCGTTGGGATTCAAACAAAATTCGTCAGTGAAACACTTGTTCCGGATATGTTCGAACGTCAGCAGTTGTGAGTCGTGTGTAAACCGCTTTTCATTCATAAACAGGGGGTTTGGCGGGTGCATGGAATCACTTTTGGATCTTTGTTTGGAGGACGGGCTGCCTAAGGATATATAGTATACGGTTTTGACAGAAAACGAGGTTTGTCGAAACCCCCTTTATTTGAATTTAACTTACCGGGGTGTTTGAATATTAGTGGCATCCGTGGCTAGTTATCATAGACGTAGGCTCTTGCAAATTATGAAGGCAAGCCTGAGAGAATAATTACAGGAGGAGGAGCACAGTGCCACAGTCCTTCCCTAATTATTATCTCAGATCATGTGCATTGTGATCTCCAAATGTGTGCATGTAAGGAAAGCCTAAATGTCACCGGTTGATATTCAGAATGTAATTCCATGCTAGTTCATTAATTAAAATGTTTCTGCTCCACAGCAGAGTGGTGGACGTTTACCGTGAAGGAAGTCTCCATAAAGGTAAATACCGGTACATATTTTGTAATAGTTCTTGATTTGAGTTTCATGTATAGAGAGATTACGTGGACTCCCATTTTGTTTCATAGTACTATTAGGGTTTCTCGCATCCTGTTGTCACTGTCTCCCATGTTACTTCATAGTTTCTTTTGGTGCCCCATGAACCTAGAATCGCAGGCGATGAGTCACAATAACGTGGCTGAAGTATGTTGACCAGACCACACACTAGAAATTGAAGGGACGACGACGTTTCGGTCCGTCCTGGACCATTCTCAAGTCGATTGTCAATTTCTAGTGTGTGGTCTGGTCAACAACCTAGAATCGTCATGGATAGTATACGGACGGCACACACACCTGCAGACGACGCTTGAGAGATTAGAGGTGAAAGGTATGGTGGAGATTATAGAGGCCCCCTCCCCTCCCGCCTCTAATCTCGGAGGGTGTTCTAGAGGGTGGGTGGGGGATGGTTACATGGGAGTACAGTGTTTTCTTAGATTTGTCGCATTGTCCTGATGGGGAGGATATGCTGGTATAGTCTGATGCCAAGACTGTCCTTGTCACGAGCATTCAACTCCTTAAAAAATAAGCTGATTTGGAAGTGTTATAATTAGGCAATATGAAGATTTTACTTCTCATTCTCCAACCTGTTGTTACAAGTTTATTACAATTAATGTTAAAATTAGTACAATAAAAAAATAACCAACCATTTTTAACAAGTTAGATTTCTCGTTCGATTAACGTTTATCAGATTTTAATTACCCTATTTCTAACTGGTGTAATGTGGGATACAATATCCGGTGTTGTTAATTATCCATCGGTCAGCGAAAGGTAGGAGACACCTGTCATACGACCAGGTGTAAACTGCACCTGTGAAGCACCAGGCACCTGTGGCACCTGTGTCAGTCCAGGCGATGAGTCACAATAACGTGGTTGAAGTATGTTGACCAGACCACACACTAGAAGGTGAAGGGACGACGATGTTTCGGTCCGTCCTGGAGCATTCTCAAGTCGATTGTCAAGTGATTGACAATCGACTTGAATGATCCAGGACGGACCGAAACGTCGTCGTCCCTTCACCTTCTAGTGTGTGGTCTGGTCAACAGTGTCAGTCGGTGTCACTATCGCCTACATCTCGCTCCACTGAGACTATAAATGCCACAACGATACTGGTGTTAATACGTGATCTTGTCGTTAACAGTTCACTGATAACTAGGCTAGACGATAATGGCGTCTGATTTAAAGCTTTTAATTCATCACGGAGTCTTAATCTTCACTTAAGCTTCATGGAGGTGATAGGGATTTTTAGTTGTCAGTACTTGAGGCTCATAAAGTGTTCTGGTTCAAGTTAGAGTGCAATGCTGTTAGCACCCATAGGCCTATTTTTTTTAAAGCCACCTGAGAAGCGAGATGTGGTCACTCCGGCTGCAACTGTTAGCATACTCGTGTTATGTTAAAGAAAAACACATTTATGCAAGGTGTTTGTAATCCTTCCCACCACCGCCCACGGAATGGGGTGCATAATAAAGAAATTGAATTGATGCTATTATCAAAGTATAAATTTCGGCTTGTGACGTGATTGGAGGGTGAATTCCTGTCTGATACCGTTTCGATGCTTCAGGAAAGGTTGATTTCCATGTGTATGTGTAAGGAAAGCCTTCACATGACCTTCAGTGGACACATCCTGGCCTGGTTGATAGTGGCAGCCTCATATTCTACATATCCTAGTTCAGTGCTCCTGTGATCCCTTTACCATATCAATGATCATTCATCGTAACCCCGAATTTCACCACCTGCCTCATTAACCTGAACCTGCCTGTTTACCTCGTTCACCTGGGGCCAGATTCACGAAAGCGCTTACGCAAACACTTACGAACCTGTACATCTTTTCTCAACCTTTGGCGGCTTTGTATCCAATTATCAAACAGTTAATGAGCTCCGAAGCACCAGGAGGCTGTTTATAATAATAACAGTTGAATGGGAAGTTTTCATGCTTGTAAACTGTTTAATAAATGTAACCAAAGCCGTCAAAGGTTGAGGAAAGATGTACACGTTCCTAAGTACTTGCGTAAGTGCTTTCGTGAATCTGGCCCCTGAACCTTCTCACTTCCATTCACTATCATCATGATCGCGAGCACTATCCTCAGGCTATTATTGTCATGACAGCCACAACAAACGATCCCATCCCTCCTTGGCCTCATAAAATCGTTATCGAAGCGTCTCCGACCGCGATCCAGACAATTGCCCACCTGCCTGTCAGTAGACCCAGGTGTGATAAAGGTACGATAAGGTGTGGCTGAGACGCGATAAGGTGGGACCAAAATATTTGTGGCTTCCCACCAGACGTGTAAATTACCGTCTTTGTTTGAATGGGTCGGAGAAGCGGGATTGGTAGACGTTATTTGTGGTTGATTTATGATCAGGGTGGGTGAATTGGGAGGGAGGGAGGGACTGAGTGATAGGCTGCGAGGCTGGGGGTTAAGGCATAGGGCAGACTTTTTCTTCCCTGACGTGGACATTCATTTTAGGTTCTAACTACAACACATTTCTTGTCCAGAATGGTCAGTTAGGTCTGTTAGAATAGAGTATAGTGGGTTGTCACTCAACCAGAGAATGGTGCAGCATTTTTCCACCCCCTGGGGGGCTAATTGGATTTAAGATTCTCATATAAATCGTCATCGATTTTGGTTAATATCTTGGTTAATAACCCAACAATGTCCTGTGTGATTTCAATTTTGACATTATACATTTTATTGTACAATGAAATATTGTACCTTTAGAATGTACTCGTTCAAAATAACAAGTAAAAATACTTTCCAGTAAAGTATCCTCAAGGAATTTGATTTCCTCGGTGGATATTAGTCCTCAGGACACCATATAGTTAAATATTTTTCATAATAGATAATCTTGAAATACGTCTTTAAGCATAAATGGCATCCCAAATTTAAGATTTTAGTTTTGGCTTCATAGCGCAAGAAATCCTAGCTTCTTGGTCACCTTTTGAGTTTTTTCTTGAAATCGGCCAACTCTCTTCTTTAATTTTTCTTTGTATTTCTCACAGTAAGACAATTTATTATTGTGATTTACGGTTTGTTTTAAATGTCAATAGTTAATTCAGTGTGTCAATAGTTAATGGCATGTTCGGCTTAGTAATTATATTAGAGACAACATACCTTGCCATAATTTCGGGGCTTAGCGTCCCCGCGACCCGGTCCTTAGCCAGGCCTCTGAAGTTTCGATTATTTAACTAACTTTTAGGAAGGCGCACAAAATTGAGGGTCCTGTAGTATAGTGGTTTAAATTTTTAATTTTGCCCCGAGAGGCGAGTCTATTGGGTAGCACCACTCATTCTGTGAGTGGACACACCGCCATAGCAGCATGTACAACACTCCCCAATAGGAAGAAAACCCGCTGGGTTGTTCATCCTGTCACTTGTACCCAGACACAGCTGGGACTTGCTTAACTGTCTCAAGTGAACAGCTTATCAAACAAAAAGATTAACATCTGTCAACCCTTAAACTTGCGTTATCTTGCTGGTGTAAAATGGGGGAATCTTTTAATGTCAGTATCTGACAAATAGTATTTTCCTAACGCCAACAATGTAGAGTTTATTAATCTACACATATGTCTAATGACTCTTAGATGTTCACACACACTCATGTAGTGGTCAAGGCGGTGTCAGTCACTCTCATCGCAGATTCTGCAACTCCTCTGCTCAACTGTTGTTTGGTCTTTGTTCTCTGATCACCGTAGAGGTACCCGAGTTGAATCTCCGGCCGGGACAGAAACGGTTGGGTACATCTACTTTCACATGATCCCTCTGTTCACCTAGCAGAGATACATGGGTACTCTGGGTTTAGACATTGTGGGAGAGTCGCATCCTGGGAACCCCTTGGTTTACTGGGGGGCCTCAATAAACCAAAGTACTGTACAGTACACGCCCCTTGTCCCGGTAATGGAAATTAAATCTGACTAGTCACTTAAGCTCCGTCTCAATGGTATCTAAGTTTATCAAATGCTCTAGAAACTTTCTAGGTTGACATAAATCATATGCATCATCTTCAATCAACATTCTTGTAGATAGTTTTTTCAAAATATCCTCATTTTAACACTGTCTTAGACCTTGGGAGGTCACTCTCCTGTTTGTCCTTTCCTGGTTAAGATGGAGTTTGATTTAGTTATGTAAATGTTCTTTAGGTTGGGTTAGGCTGGGCTTGGTTTTGCTGGCTTAAGTTGAGTTTAGTTTGTGGCTCCACATCAGTTTTTCTGTACAAAGATGTTCTGTAAATAAGAGCTGTTAGCGAAACATTCAGCACTTGAGATTATCGCCACGGTAGTCGTATAATTAATCTATATTTAAAGCCTAACGTGAACTACAAACACCAAGGTGAAGTATCAGGCGACTTCTTATCTAGTCTGAATCCTAGACCTGTTATATTTAGACCAACTTGATGCTGGGGGTAGTGTTGGAGAGTAGTGACCGAGCGGCAACGAGCTTCAAATAGCTCCTTAAATGTTTGATGGTGGGTGGGTAGGCGGAGGGGGTCAGGAGGAGACGCTGGGATATCCCCTAGCAACATCATGCCCTTCTTTCTCCTCCTCCCCCCCAGCAAGACGGGCTTGATACTACGCACGCCACTGAAGGTCAGGCAGATGACCTCCGGCTCAGTGGCATGGGGTTCCTCCGGCGAGCAAGCCTCCATCTGGTCTTCTTTTCTGCTCGTAGTTAAACCGGCGGTGGGATATTAGCGAGTTGGTGGCGGTGACGTGGAAGCCGGCGTTGATCCGCGAGAGTCAGAAGATGGCCTTAACGCTACAGTGTCGGCAACACTGCTGCGTTTTGTTGATAGCCTGGAGGGGCATTGACCGTGTGGGGCCAGTGTGGCGCTGGTCGAGGGTACTCCACAACCACCTGCTGCCACTCCTCTTGCCTCGCAAGGGACTGTACAAATGTTAAATGAAATGTCTAATATACAGTTACAGCCCCGCTCCTGTGCCGGGTAAGT